TTAATTATCTCCTTTACAAACCCTCGTTCATTCTAGCTATTATTCACTGTAATACCTTAACAAAGCCACACAAACTTCAGAAAAATTCTCAATTTGTTTAACATGTCATACACATCATCTTATCAAAACTTACAAACATTCTTTTATTCAAATACTTTATCAAATCCAAGTGTCTTATACACATGATAATGGGGAAAATCAAAGTTTTGAAGTGCAAGAAACTTGTTTCATCAATGAAAATGCCAGATTTTGATAATTATCTGGTACCATAATAACAATATTTTCACTGTTATAATAGTGCTCTATACAATTGTAGAGCGATTTTCTAGTATAAATTTTAGATTTTTATTAATAATTATAATTTTTGTGTCGTCTTTGATAACATAGTCAAACATAATCTGTAGATGTTATTCTAAAATAATTTTCATGAATAAATAAATAAATAAATAAATAAATAACGGAATTTAATAATATGCCCATTTTTGAATTGAAAATGTTTATATAACATGATTAGGCAAAGATATGTTAGACATTATGTTCAGATATCAGTGAATGGGCATGAGACGTCACAAACCTTTATATGATTTTCAATTTCAATATTTCTTAATTTATAATTTATTTCAATCCGCTTAAAAATAACTCAAGACTGCTGAATATAACAAATTTACCCTAAATCCATTTACATTGCATGTATTTTAAATCTGAAAGTATTTTGTACCGAAAAGAAAAGATCGTCGATATATCCTTTTTAAAATCCGCAATCAAATTATGTCCGGAAGACTTTTTGCTAGTTTTTTTTGGTGAATGTTTGACTTATATCAATGTACTGTCTTATTAAATGATATAACATACATATGATACAACATTCAAAATTTTCATTTCAAAAAGAATTCTTAACCAACAAATGAATATTATGGATAATGGAGAAGTCAGGAATTTAAAATTATTTCAAATTATGAACCATTGCAGCATGCTTGCAGATTTCAATAAAATTCCATAAAACAAAATACGAAGGTTGGATTTCATACATGTTGACATAAATTCAACACCCAATAAAATTACAATGTTGCAAACAAGATACCCTTTATGTTCGACATAATTTGATCAAATGAAGTACAAGTTAAGTATATTTTTAATATATAACAGATTTCACTCTTTAGCCGTCATGCATCAATTCTTCTAATTTTCTGCTACCCCAGTTTCGCCCAAAAGCCTCTATTGAAAGTTGAAAATAGAAGATAGTCAATAGAATAAACATTATTTAGGATTACTATACAAGGGGACAATCATAACTTTACGTTTTATTCAAAGCATTATATCTTTATGGGAATATAATAGAGGAGATCGCACCCAGTACACTACCTCGAACAGGAACTAAAATCCTTTCTATGAAATAATATAAGTATATATAATGATACAGGACATTAAGAAAATAACAGAGAATGTTCTTCAAATTTTCCACAAAATTGCTGTCTAATTCAACATAATAATTCTAAAAATTACATATTTAAACTTGAAAACATGGGGTTAGAGAAGACGAAATGAATTGAAAAATACGAAAAAATTCACTTACCCTTTCTGGTATTACAATGTCCTGAAACAGACGATTATTGTGAGCTATGGACACTATCAATATTAAAATGAGATCTGGCCAATAATTGGCTACATTTTACTTCAAATCGTTTGTTTAACGGCAGAAACGTGTCTATATCGAATCATGTCGGTGATCCCATACGAAATTGTCCTTACTCCCTATTATTTCCATTCATTCATAGAGTCACGACACATATTTTGACAAGAGAAGACCTTATCAATCCCTTTCACCAATACATCAGAGCACTGTCTACAGTAAGACGAAATGAAGGAAATCGGTCGAAGTACGTCTTATGACGTCCAATCTGTTGGGCGTCAACCGAATTTTCAAATTCTATTGTGTCTTTCACACATTGAAATCAGCGTTTAATAAGTAATAATAAAAGGAGTTATAACTGGTATAATGTATATTTATAAAGCATGGGCTGTTGAAGGGGTTTAAACTTTGACCACCCTATTCCTACAGAAAACTCCCTCTCAGCATTTTAAAATCCTAAATGTGTGTACACTATGGTTTCCTATTACCCTATTTGATTTATATTAAATATCACTTATTATAACTTCAAGTAAACTATTATTCAGGTCATGTTTGTTCAATATTAAATATTAAATTTATCGTTCATAAGTTCAATATTCAAATCGTTCTTGAAATATGCATGTTATATCTATAAATGTCATTTTGGCCACGATTGGGAAACCGCGTCACCGCGTGCTTACTTGTGACCTAGACCAGTGCTTCTATAACAGTATCTCTTATTAACGCGTGGGATATCAAGCAAAAATACAAATAAAAATTTCAGTTTTTTATTAGTAGATTCCCCTCTGTAAAAGCTATTCACTTGAAGCGATACGACAAAATTCCAAGCATTCAGAAGATGTTATACTGCCCCATTTCATTTAATGGTAAAATGACCCCATTTTTCCTCATTTCAATGATTTGTATGATTCAATTATTGAACTTTCTAATTTTGAAAATGGCCCGAAACTGGAATGTTTACTCAAGACGGGTATAAAGCCAATGTGATTATTGGAAGGTTTTATTGAATAGGACAGTTACCGTCTGTAAAATGTTCTTATAATCACTATTTCATTCCCGCCATTTAATGATGGTGCACGTGCCGATGGAGGTTTTCTTACGACGTTGTTTCCATGGAAACCTTATAAATTAGTATAAGATCAAACGAAGAACTTTGTTTTGATAATCGAACTATTATTCAAAATATCATATATAATATTTTTCAGCGCTGTATATAATAATAATGAAAATGAAGCCATATTTTCTTGGTTGAGACGAAAATTATATTAAAAAAAATTCTTATAACTTCCGACACCGCAATATTGCTGCAAGAGTAACAAAATACATTATTTTTACTATATATGCATGGTAAGGACGTCGTTCAACGCTTTTCCATTCTGATGCCTGTATCCTCCAAAAATGTTGCCTGTTGGTTGCTACATTTGATGGTTTCGAAGGAATTTCCGAGTGATCAAACAATACCATTGGATAAAAACCATAAAGCTTCTATTGCATAGACAAGCTATAATTTTTTTTATAGGCAGATCATTACAACTTGACAGTAATGTCATCAATATGCCTAAGCATACCAAGTTGCATAAAGTTCGGATAAAAACTTTTGGCTCTAAAAGATAAATTTAACTCGTGGTTACTGATTCGAGGAAATTGGTGCATGTTCTATCTGGAATGTCACCTTTCAGTTAATATTACTAATACGTGAGCCGATAATAATTCATGTCAACATAATATCTTTAATATTTAACACTTTATATTATCTGAAGAAGGAAATTTTAAATATACTTTTAAGGGAAGTATTTTATCACAAAAAATATGAAAAGTAAAACCAGGTACGAATCTTTATAGACTTAAAAAAAATACTGACGTACATCGTCACAATGTCAAGCTATTACGAAATTTGTCTTATACTTGACTGCAATAGCCAGCCTTCCTATATCACAGAATGCGGCGATTTGATTGGATTGTAAGTTAGCGAATACAATCAATCAGAGCCCTCGAAATATATTATGTAGACAATATGACCAATGGTTTACAGACATACTCGAAAGCTCTATATTTTGGCTGTAATCGGTAGCGTAGTTTTCCAACAGATAACAGATAATCTAACCAAACCAAACCAAACCAACGACTACCATTCGACTACCAATCAACAAGAAATACCATGATTAGAACGAGTTTGGAAGAATGAAGGAGACCGAGTAACTCACACCACATCCAGGGCCGAGTTTCACCGCCATGTCATTCGACCCGACCAGATGTAACGAAGAATCAACAACCAAACCAACAACACCGAATCATCCAATTTGATCCAATTCAACTACCAACTACTACGACTACCAACAACTACCTAGTTTGTGATATCAGCATCCGCTGGAAGCGAACGTTAACTTGTCATCTACCTACCTACCTAGCGTATAATCCAATCAAATTTGCATTCTGTGATACAAAAAAGGTGCAGGGCTATTGTAGTCAAGCTATAATTCGTAACAGCTTGACATTGTGAAGATGGGTGAAGTATTGTTAAGTTTATCATAAAGTAGTTCTTGTTTGTAAATTTTGAATTTCAAGGCAGTTAACATTTTCAAAAGATCAAAAGAGAAAAAAATGATCTTTGTTCTTACATCGGTTGGACCCAAATTTGCAGTGACAAGCGTACCAGAATTCAACGCCCCGCAGCCTATTCTATGCCACTAAAGATAGAAAATACAAATCATATTTTTATTCCATATTTATTAGAAAATGTTCAATGTCCCCATGGATAATACTCTGTCTGGACTTAATCTTGAAATAGTCGGTGCCAGAATCGATTGAAGAAGTATTTTTCACAATACAATTGATTCTTTACATATTATGTTTATTGAAATGCCGAAATTCCAAATGATTGTATACCATTTTTTCACATTCGGTTTTCAGCTCTGTTGTCCGAGAGTACCTGTTCTTGTGTCCCCAATCTAAAATGAAAGCCAATAGCTACAGAGAAATATTCTGTGCACGGTAGCATTTTTCTGGAATCAGAATGGTTTTCAATGCCCTTTAGTTAAATTAAAAAAAGTGGAATCAATATGCACAAAGAGTGCAATAGTCATGGATACGTCTGAAAATATCAAACAATAATTTGACTGTTTAAACATGAATTCAATATTTTTACACTTATTAGCCCTATCTAATGTAAGTTTGTATTTTAGAAGACAATACAAGAGTCTGTTAAATGGTGTTTATCTTTGTCTCTTTCGCTTTGTTATATTGATTTGGTTATTGTTAATCTATTGATATCATAGCATCCTATTATCACAGTTGCTTTTTTCATATTGCAGAATTTAATGTCAGCAAATCACCCTATTAGACCTTTTGAAAAGATATGATTGAAAAAAAGATGGCTAACAATTCAGTAGCAATTCAAAATAATCTGGTTGTAGACACCATATCAATCTCAATGTCTATACAATTCTCTTTAAAATATCGCTGCGATAATTTTGGACTGCTTATTTTGACTCACAGAGTGTGGATATCGCTTGAATTGAGACTTGGGAAGATAGAGAAAAGGAAAGACCGAGAGAATACCTGGCGAGAGGAGACAGAATATCTTGGCAGAGCAGTGTGGAAAAGGAAACAAGAAAAGGTAAGGGAGAACAGAGAAATTAAAGAGGCTAACAGAGAGTAGGAAGAAGAGACAAGGGAAGTAGATAGGAATAGATTTAGGAAGGAGAGACAAGGAAACAGTATAGATTTATGAAGAATATACAAGGGAAACAGTAGAGATTCTTAAGGAAGATACAAGGGGAGAAGAAACAGTAGAGATTCATGAAGAATATACAAGGGAAGTAGAAACAGTAGAGATTTATGAAGAAGATACAAGGGAAGAAGAAACAGTAGAGATTTGGGAAGAAGATACAAGGGAAGTAGAAACAGTAGAGATTCATGAAGAATATACAAGGGAAGTAGAAACAGTAGAGATTCTTAAGGAAGATACAAGGGAAGTAGAAACGGTAGAGATTCATGAAGAATATACAAGGGAAGTAGAAACAGTAGAGATTTATGAAGAAGATACAAAGGAAGAAGAAACAGTAGAGATTCATGAAGAATATACAAGGGAAGTAGAAACAGTAGAGATTTATGAAGAAGATACAAGGAAGGACGAAACAGTAGAGATTCTTAAGGAAGATACACGGGGAGAAGAAACAGTAGAGATTCTTAAGGAAGATACAAGGGAAGAATAAACAGTAGAGATTCATGAAGAATATACAAGGGAAGTAGAAACGGTAGAGATTCATGAAGAATATACAAGGGAAGTAGAAACAGTAGAGATTTGGGAAGAAGATACAAGGGAAGTAGAAACAGTAGAGATTCATGAAGAATATACAAGGGAAGTAGAAACAGTAGAGATTCATGAAGAATATACAAGGGAAGTAGAAATAGTAGAGATTCATGAAGAATATACAAGGGAAGTAGAAACAGTAGAGATTTGGGAAGAAGATAAAAGGGAAGTAGAAACAGTACAGACTCAGGAAGAAGATACAAAAGGTTTGAGAGGAATGAATTAGACAAGGGAAGGAGCTCAGGGAGTGAGTGTGGTGAGCTTGTAGGAGAATATACGGGGGTTCTGAGGATTTAAAAAAATTTCATAAGTAGTCTCAGTGGTCAAACCAAATGAAATTGTTGAAAATTCTTCCCTTGAAGCAAAACGTATATAAAACGTAACTATTTAAATTAAATCTTTCGATTCGCTTTTTTTAAAATATCGGCATAACTGTTCCTCCAATGACGTTTAATGCCTTTTATTTCTAGATTTGGCATGGATTCTCATGAACATTATACAATTTGATTTATTCGCAAATCATGATAAATTTTTATTTGACTAATCATAAGGAATATTGGATCGCAAAAATTAAAAAAATAAACTACTCCTCCTGTGTTGTGGACATATTTGATCTTAGCTGGCAAGAAAGTTATATGTTATGAATATTAAAACATTTTAGAAGCCTTTCAATTTACTATAAAGATAGCTGTTCTTCAGTATTGGATTTACTAAGTTCATTAAAAAAACAGATAATTACGGACGATCGCTTTGATTAATGAAGATTGTAAGCCTTTCTTATGATATTTTTGGAAAAAAAACACCCACGCCTTTGAATTAGTTTAAGACATTCCCAATTATATTTTTTGTATCCCCCTATATCAAGATAATGATGCCCATGGGCCTCATTACGTTTTGTATAGATTAACTGTGTTCTGTTTCTGTCATTTATATTGAGTTACTTCCCATCTATCACAATTTGGAAAATCAGGGCTAAAAGCCCAGACCACAATAAATTAATACTGGTGTGTTTAATGGGGGATAAGTCTTCTTTGATATAGAATTCAGACTGCAAATAACAAAATTATCAAATTTATTGAGAGGTGTATCTGTCGAAACGAACCCTATTAAAAATATTAATATCTTTGGGGTTTTTCAAAAACCATTTGCTAGGAGCTTAATATAAGCAACCAAGTTCAGTACATTCCATTTTAAAAATTCAAAACGAGAAGTAATGGTGAAGTTTTCCGCATGACGGTTCTGAAGTTACCCACGTGACTCATTGGTTGTGGCAATGGCGGTGACGCTAAAGTTGTTTGAAAAGAACGGGATATATTTACTTGAGAAATAACTGGAAATAACTTGGATAACTTTCTTCATTTTAACATACAGTGCGCAATGAGGTAATTATTGAACTGTTTGATTAATTTATTACTTTTGTTTAATTTACAAATTTTGTTATTTTATAAAAAAAACAACACTCTATCAGTTCTCTATATAAAAAGACAGTCAACAAAGTATAACACACTGTTGTTCAAAGTATTACTTCTATCGTTTACTGAAAGCTTTTGTATGTATTACTATCTCACTGGTAGTAATCATGAGAGTTGAGATCTCCAGTTATGATGGAACTTGGAATTTGAGTACCGTACAGAAAATGTATTCAATATTGAAACCAATAATGGTACTCGAAAATTTTGAATTGAAGTCACATTAAATTGAAAAATAAAACTTTTCAATGACAACTTTGTCTTTGCATACGGTTGGGATTTTCATCATTCTAAAAAGTGAGTTTAATGCAAGCTACAGCAACTCTCTTGGAGCAACTCAAATGCTGTTTGTTGCTTGTGGAAAGGCTCTGAGACAAATTGTCCAATATGTTAATCGAATTTTGTGAAAATATAAATTGGGTAGTTCTTTAAGGAGTGGAAGAAAACTTCTAATGTAAAATGAAAATCTTGATATTTGTCAAAGTAAAGAATTATCATGTAGACATCTTGGTATTATCATAATAAAAGTTGACTTTGGTTGTGGAGGTGGATCACAAAGTGGATTGTCAATATTAACATTACTAGCATGTCAAACACAGTAGAGGTCAAATTTACTTTTCTAAATACTTAGTGAGAAGTAAATTTACTTGGTGTTTAAACTAACTGTTAATTACCTTCTACATGGTGGTTTGAAAGCTACATTTTCAACTACAAGCTGAATGTAAAATGAGGTACATCTGTTTTAAATGGAGACAAAATAAATAATATGATTCTATTCATCTCTTTATCTTGAATTCCATTTACGTATATTACCAAATCCTTGTAAAAGTTATTAAAAAGAGTGTTTCCAATTCTAACCTTTGTCTGTCTTTGTAAAGACTTAAAGCATCTATTTGCACTATTTCTATGTCAGTGGTTACGTGTTATTCTAAAAAAAATGTTCACCATATAATGAGGTCTGATGCTCCAAATTAATTGCAACCGAATATGATGTTTTGGTGAAAACATTGAAAACGTGCATTGTAGAATTACTAACAATACTAACTAATATTTTTTGTCTTTTGACACAATGGGCTTTTCACTTTTGAAATGATAATGTGTTCAATGTTCCATTCCAAAGCATTTCTAAAAATGATAATACAATGGAAATAACTACAAACTTAAATGTTATAATCCCTTAAAAAGCAAAAGATAACACATCATTTTCATCTTTTATTGGACAAATTGATTTGCTTCACCTTCTGTAGACACAATCTTTTGAAGATTAACACTTTATTTTATCACTTGTTTTATCTAAAGTGATCTTCATATTATCATTCCATCATTTCATTCTTTTGTAAAAATCAAGCTTTCACTTGAACTGTGACTTAGTCATTAAACCATTACTAATGTATAGAAAAATAGTTTGTATAATGTTAAGACACTGTTAGAGTTCTTACATCACCTTGTGATTAGGATTAATAATTAAAGGTGTTTAACTTTAAGGTAGATTTGTTTAATGGTTTACCTTTCCTAATGTCTTCCTAATAGGTCATATCTCAACTGGCCATGGAATGAGAATTTTTTTAACTTTGAAGGATTTAAATAAAGACATTTTTTGTTTTTTTTTTAAATTCAATGGCTTTATGATATTGCATTACATTTTCGACTTGTTTTTTCAAATTTATGTTGAATGGTTGTTTGTTTTATCAATTGTCAATTTGGCAATACCATATGTACCACTTGAGAACAGTTGAAAACTGGGAATTATTTAGTAGAGTTGTCTAATTTATGTTATCAAGTTATTTGATCAGATTGTGGCCAAAAGAATACTACTTGATATGTAAACAACTGTTATCTTCTAAACATGTATTTAATTATTTTGGTTAATTAAACAAACTCGTTAATAAGTAACACCTGATTAATTACAAGTTAATTATCAGGAAAGGTACAGGTAGAAAGAAAAGTTCAAGTTAAACACACCTGAGAGATCTTATACTTTAATATCTTACACAAAATAAACAACCATTATCCAGCTTGTGTGAGCTATTAATGTAAACTCTACTATACTTGAAATGGCTAGGCAAATGGTAGAGAGGTTCACAATGTCCTTTGAAGGTATACAAGTATTCTGATCTTTTCATTAGAACACCAGTAAACTCTGTGTCAAACTACACAGATGGCTTTCTTAAAAGTTAGTTCTATTTTCTTACGTGCAATCTTTTTTCTTCATAAAAAGTGAAGTTCATTGTGGTTAAAAAGTAAACATTAGTGTTTCAAGGTAACTTCAACCTGCTATGAAAGTAGAATTTTGTAATTTATTTCTGTTCGACACAATGCCAAATATATTTTGACAAAGGGTTTAGTTGTGGTTTTCCATAAAAAAAAAGAGCAGGTAATTTTGGTTCTCTGTGTTCTTTTCAAATCCAGTTTCTTCTTTTGTAAAGTTGTAAACCAGACGTCAATGGTAATTTTTATTTCTCAAAGCATTGTGACAAATGCAAAATGGTTAGGTTCAGGTCTCAGAAGTTCTTGCTATTAATAGGCCTATTTTAAAATATTTTAAAAATGACAAGCTTATCTCTCATGATCCTCAATATCAATATACATGTTCATCATTTCTTACATGTTTTTATTTTGACATCTTTAGTTTGTCATCACTATTGCAAAATTGCTAAATTTACACAATTGATAGAAGGTTGGAATGATACAAATAGATGTCATAAACAGTTCTGATACACATAACACGTTTTGAAAACCTCTTTACAATCCCCAGAAATTGAATACTTCTTCTTTGTATGTATAAGACTGAAGTATATTTTGATATCACTATAGTTGATTAAAATATAATATGACAAATCAAGCTATATTTGGTGTTATGTTATAAAATTAGGGATTAACTAGTTTGTTAAGAAAATAAGACACTTCTGTTGTTCTTCACACTGGGGTACAGAATTCAAGGTTCACTTGTAAAATCTCTCCCTCGTGTGGTAACAAATAAATTTCAATTTGTTCTCTCAACTAGTAAATCCCTCCAATCTTATTTCAGCATGCAATAGTGATTAACTGGGTTAAAATGCCAATAAAATATAAGGTTGTCATTTGATGGCGGATGAAGCTGGGATTACGGTTGTACTTAGGAATATCTGAACAGTAAAATATCCGGAATAATTTTCAAAACAGAACTTGAACTATCCATTTCTACTAGATTTATTTTTAATGGTTTCAGCATCAAGTCAAAGCTTATATTAATCTGTTACCAAATATACTTATAAGCCATCTTGAAAACAAGGACTTCCTCAAATATATTTTTAAAAAGTATGATTCATGTTCTTCATGATAATTTGAGTTTTTTTATGATAGAATGTCTATTTTAAAATGCTTTTAAGATACAGAGATTACTGATAGAACATTTTCTGTGTTAAATATTGTCATTATTGTGTGATGTACATTA